ATTCCAAAGCTGCACTGAATAGGAAGTTCAGGGAGGAGTGGAATCACACCGCGAACTCTAACGTAGGGGTTCAGTTTTCATAAACCTCACTGTGGCTTCGACTTCATGTCTAACTCTTAGAGGAAGGAAAATTTGCCTCCCAAGGAAGTATCTGAGGCTTCCAGAGGGTGCCCTGCGTGGATCTCTCTGGTTCCTTATTCTTTCTCTCATTCCTTTTAATCCCATTGCTTCCAATACCCCACTCTCTAACCTTTTCCCAGGACATTTCATACACACACTGCAAAGAAACAGCCAAGTGAATACCAGTCCTAGGTAGTGAGTACCAGTGACGACGACAACAGTTAGCACACATAGGGTTTAGACTCTGTGCCAGGTTCAGACTGTGTGCTGAACGCTTTACTACTCTCTGTGATCCTCAAGAGAATTATTTACCCTATTTTATTTATGAAGAAGATGAAACTCCAAGCACAGAATGCCTTAAGGCTATGGGATTCCAATCCAGACATCTTGTCCCAGGCTCTTGGCCACAGTATTTCCACTCTGTTTTCTCCCCCAGCCATCCACAATCTCCTGGGTCTGAAGGGGAGAGAGCTGAACTCCTAACTCAAGCCACAGAGGTCTGCACAAGGGAAGGAAAGATTAGGGAAGAATAGGGGCAGAGAAAAGAGGTGGAGAACATCTTTGGTCCAGGCTGTAACTCCTCCACCTCCTTCCCCAGACCTCCTCTACAAAAGCAAACATCCAACAGAGACTCATTTCCTCCTGAAATTTTGTCTGGGGGTCCAGCACAGAAATTCATATTCTTCCTATTTACGAAGTTTGACTTTCATTCTCTCTTTCTTTTGTTTTTGTTATTGTTTTTGTTTTTGCAGTAATGGGAATTGAACCCAAGAAATACTGAGCTATATCCCAGCTTTTATTTTCATCATCATCATCATCATGATTGTCATCATTATCATTGTCATCATCATTATTATTAATTTATGACATGGCCTTGCTGAGTTACTCGGGCTGGACTTGAACTTGTGATTCTCCTGCCTCAGCCTCCAGATAGTCTAGGATTACAGGCACATTCCGTCATACACAGCTATTTCTTACAAAATAATATCCCAGTCTTACTACACCTTGAAAGAATCACCCTGACTTTTCCCCAGAACCCACCATCAAGTATTTATAATACAAAGGCTCAAGTCACCATTCTCAACAAAAGACGTGGGAGAAGGAAAGACAGAAGGAAGCGAGGCATCTCAGTGTTTCCTTTCATATTTTAAATATATGATACATTTTGATGCTTTTTCAATAAGTCTTAAAACACCACATAAAAAGAGAAAAAGACCCCCAGAAAATGCAACCCAACACAGAGTCCTAGGAATCTAGAACTATCCAGAGATCTGAAGCTGGGCTCCATGCTGGAGTATTTCAAGAGGCTGGTCCTTCTTTGTGGAGGACTCTGCAGGCCGTTAGAGAGGCCCCCAAAGCAACCCAAGCCTCCCGTGCTCTGGAAGTCATCCACGTGAAGGTAACTACAGAGATTTATGAAGTTACATGAAGAAATAACAAAAATAAGCAAGGCGTGCGTGCATCCATACATTTATAATGTATTCAGGGTAGAAATCCATTCAACTCAACTGCAAAGCACATTAACAGACTAACTGAATTGCCGAGAAATTGCTATTTAGTTATAAAGCAGTGTGTTCAATATAAACGATTGCTGACCCAGAAGAACTTTTATTTGAAAAGAGGGAGAGATGACGGCTTAAAGCATTCATTTTTGACACTCTCTGCCATCTGTCCGGGTGAACTGTAGAAAGGCTGGTAACTACCATTATCACTAATTATCTGTCACTAGAAATCTCTTTCAGTTTACCATTAGCATTCCATTTGAAGCAAGAAACAGGCTTATTACATCTTAAAGTAAATTTTGATTATCCACAGAGACACTCAGTTTCCATGCACTTTGATATTTGAATGTGGACTCTAAGGCCAAACGTACAGTGTCTCCGTGTGCAGCCCTGCGGTACAGCTCTCAGACTTGTATAATCTGGACTGTTAGGGTCTGGGTGGATGGACGGGTAGCCCTCAGGCAGACTCTGGTAACTGTTACAGGAAATTAACAGTTAAATTCAGGGAGACTGCCTCTGGCATGAAGTTCAAAGCCTCTGCAACTCTAAGGTTCAGGAGTTGTGGGCCCTGGAAAAAAAAGTAATATGCTTAATAAAGCATGAACAAAACACTTAGTTACTTTGTTTCTCTTTCATCTGCTCTTATTTATTTTAAAAATGTTTTTATTTTTAATTAAATTTTTTATTAGTACATGTTTGCAGTATATAATGCTTACATTCCTGGTGTGGAATATATGTAACACATCTTAATTCTTTTGTTCATCCTCTTGCCTACCCTTTCTCCCTCTTACTCCATCTCTTGATCCCCTTCCCATCTGAAAAAGATGGCTCCCTACTTCCTATTACCCATCTTTTATTTTGTTCTTTGCTTATATATGCGAGAAACCATATTTAAGCTTGTGAGTTTGGTTTATTTCACTTAGCATTTATGGTCTTAAGGTGCATCCATTTTCCTACAAATGACTCAGTTTAATCCCCCGCCCCGCCCCTTGGTACCAGGGATCAAAAAACTTGGGACCTTGCAGTTACAAGGCAGGTGCGGAGCCACTGAGCTAAATTCCCAGCCCACATTCATCTTCCTTAAAGGCAGAGTGGTGTTCCGTTGTGTGTGAATATCATATTTTTTTTAATCCACTCATCCATTGATGGACATATGGGCTGCTTCCAAGATTTAACAACTCTGAATTGTGCTGCTATAAATATAGGTATATATGTATTACACAAACACTTGAAACAGCATTGGGCCTACAAAAAAAAACCTGAGAAATATTGTTTGACAGTTTCTAGTTATAGTAAAAATGACTCTTGGCTTCTTAGCTTGGTGTTTTTATTTAAGGTGTTTCTAGTAAACTACTAAGTAAGAAACTTTTACCCCAGTTGTCTCATACCTACATTGTTTCATTTTGCGCCTTGTTTTCTTTTTCAGCACACTTTAAAATCAAACTAGCCTGCTACTTGATTTGGGAGCCTTGCCCTTGCCCAGGAACCAAAGAACATTTTCTAGAAAAACATGGCAGCTTTTGCTCCATGATTGTATCCTCCAATATTAGGGACACTGGAAAATCTAAACCCCTCTGGCTGGCATTTAAGGACCCTGACAATTGGCTACACATCCATATTTCTAGCCTCATTACCTACTTATCTCTGCACAAATTTGGGCTAAAATAAATCCACACTACACAGAGGCAATCCCTGAACTTGAGTCTACTCAAGCTAGAAAATTTACTGAATATATTTAAAATAATTTTGTTTATGTCATTTTCCCTTATAACAGATCATCTTTTCCACACTCTACCACATTTAAGTGCTGTGGCAAATACATACTGGGAAATGGTCTTCCTGAGTTCTTTTTCTGCCGCCATCCATGCCACCCTACCAGGGCTGCTAAAGCAGAGGCCGCTATGCTTTTATTATACATTCTCACTTCTACTCTCATCAAAATGGAACATTTAGAGTACATAGCTCACCCAAACTGGACAGATGACATTGTTCTCTGGGAATTTAGAATTGACAGAGTCCATTCGATCTACAAAGCTATGTGAAAGCTCATCTAGGTCTGCTCTTTGGACAATACCCTGTCAAACCAAAGGCATGTGAAAGACAAAACTATGAAGGAACAGAGACCAAGACTTGGCAAAGAAAGTTGGTTTGCCAAACAGAAGAAAACATGCTTACAAAATTATGCATGTAAGAAGAATAGTGAAAATGGGGCTTGGGGTATGTGCCTGTAACTGCAACAGTCCAGAAGGCTGAGACAGGAAGATGGCAAATTTGAGCCCAGCCTGGGCAGAGAAGTATCATGCAGCTATTGAAATAAGAATCCTAGGCAGTACCTGGTATGAAGCTCCACTTCCAGCTATGCCTCCTTATCTAAAAGCTACATGTCATAAAAATAAATCTCTCTTTCAAGTGGATCTCATTTGAGTAGGTTTCTGTGCCTTACAACCATGGAGTTTTGCCTTTAAAAAATAACTCTGCTCAGCTATCAGCTCTTTTATGACACTTGTTTGAATCTTTCCCAGCTGGGCTGATCCTTACCTTGCTTTGCTATCTGGTCCTGACCTGCCTACCTATTCTCACAGTCTTCTGGTCACAACCCACATAGAGGCATAGACTTAGTAACCTACAGCTATTAGAGTGGTGGTTTTCTAACTTGGAGTGATTTTGCCCCCGAGGCACATTTGGCAATGTCTCTCACTACTGCCTGACAGAGGAGAAGAGCTGTTAAACTGTTAACAAGTAGAGACCCGGGATACTGGGAAGAATCCTACAATGCACAACAAAGAATTATCCAGTTGGGAAAGTCAATAATGCAAAAGTTTAGAGACTGTAAGGAACAGTGGCTATTTTATATTTGTACCTGCAATGCCATTTTGTATTTCTACCTGCAATGCACAAGGATTCCAAATTTTTCACATCCTTTCCAACAGTTATTTTGTTTCATTTCTTTGTTTATAGTACCGTCCTAATGTGTGAGAAATGGTATCTACCATCTCGCTAAATATTAGTGACACTGAACATATTTTCATGCATTTATTGGCCATTTGTATTTCTTTTCTGAAAAAGTGTCTATTCAAGTCCTCTGCCCATTTTTGACTTAGGTAGTTTTTATTGTTGTTCAGTGTTGACAAGGTCTTATCTTTTTCTAAGAGTTTTATAGATTATTCATATGTTTCTTTCGGTTTCTTTGGGTTTTGTCAACAAAGATAATGTGTGTATGTGTTTGTGAACATTTTAAGGTCTCATATGCTGCTAACATTGAAAAAAGCTTTTAACAGAAGAACAGGAAAATATATTAAATTGGGCAGGCTAATTGCTAAACAAACACCAAAATAGAGTTCAAACAAAAACATTTATTTATTGCCTAATATAAAAGATAAATAGTAGTCTATCCTCAAAGTAATGTTTCCCAGATACTTGTTCCTTTTTGTAGTACATGGCTTCCAGCCTGCCATGTCCTTTTATTCCAACCTAGCAGAAGGGGACAGAGAAAAGAAAATCATATCTGATTTCCAAACACCTTGATTTGGAAGTGACATACTACCACTCCTAGATGCAAGATAGCTGGGAGATATAGACCCTGGTCGCAGAGCTGTTTTCTAGTGGCTGCTCTATTTCTACACTGTGTGCATCTAGCCACATCTATTGGGCACTTGGAATGTAGCTTGTCCAAACTGCCACACCAGAATTGGATGACTTGGCATAAAAGTAAGAATGCAAATATCTCTTTGATAATGTTTGTATCGATTGCGTGTTGAAATGGCACTACTATAAATATGTTGAACTAAATACAAGATACCATTAAATTGATTATTTTTAACATGGTTAATAGAAAAATTTTAATTGTATATGTGTCTTGCATTTTACATCTATTCAATTATGCTGTTACATAAACAACCTTCTTTGTTATACAGATTATCTGTTGCATAGGTAGGAAGTACATCTGGGCCATTCACAGAATTAGAAAAAGGAATTGGGAAGCTCTCTGCAATAAAAATATGTTTTTGCACATCCTCTCTTTCTCTGTTTCTCTGTCTCTCTGTCTCTCTCTGGCCCTCTATCTCTCTCCCTCTCTCTCTCTCTCCCTCCCTCTCTCTCCTCACTGAGTAGAACCACAAAGTCACTGGTCTACATCTTGCAACCTACTGGCTTTATTTAGCCTTTTCTCTCTCTTTCTCTGTTTATCTCTCTTATCAGAGTCCAAACAGTTTGGTCAGGAGTGTAGGGTCATATGGCTTGCTGCCCATTCACCAGAAACAATGGAAACGGGTTCTCCAAAGGGAGCGCAGGTAGGTCAAAGTGACTGACATATTTGCTCAGCACATAAAATGTGTAAACACTACACTGGCTTGGCAGCTGTCAATATTTTCCAGCTTCTACACTTAATAGACTATATTTGATTTGAGATTTTTTGTAAGAGCTCTGTCTTGAATAGGTGACAAATTTAATTTAAGGGTATATTACTTAACTCATGTCATCACTAAAGAAAACATGTAACTAATCTTTCTTTCTGGGGCTTGTACCAGTGCCCAGAAACAGTCAACATCACTGACAAGCCTTGAATTTCCAAAGGTGTACTTGGAGCTCAATGTAATCTACATAACATCACAATTATCTTGTAAGACCAGGCCCATAGAACCATATATATTAATTATTGAAGGGTACAAAAATTAATAAATGGTAACATACCCTCAAACAAAACTCTCCTGTCAGCCTGAAATTTTAAAATTTTAGTGCCACTCACTCTCTGTCATAAGAAATGTGTCCGTGTAGCCCCTTTTAGAATATGAATAAGAGTCCTAGAGAGATTACCTGATGTTTTATATTCTCAGGAAACATTTGCTGCCAGATACTGTGATAAATCCATTATCATCATTAGTGATAGATGTTTTAAATGTTGTCTTTCACCCATGAAAACAATGGGGGCTAGAATGAATGGAATTAAAGGTAGTTACTTTTGTTGAAAGGTAGGATTTGGTTTGCTTCAGGGTATGCACAAGAAAGATGTCCAAGGGACAGTTAAGATGCAGTCTAGAACCCTGGGTGTCTGGCAGGGAAGATGTGTAGAAGATCACACAAAAAGAGGTGACAGACAGCAGAGTCACCAAATAGATTTTTCTCATGTTTTTACCATTGTGGTGGTCTTTGATCTTTAGCAATGATACTGTTTGCTAATGAAGCTTCATAACCTTGCTTCTTTGAGGCTATACTCTTCAAAGTCAGTAAGAGTCTCCCAAGTTCCTAAGGTTCTTTTTGGTCTCAATAAGTGAGTAACCTAGAAATGAATTGACAAGAAGCAAAGACATAAGATTCAATCAATTATTACTGTCACGTTATCTTTTATAATCACATATATACACTAAATATTTATATGTATAAAATATTTTAAAAGATTAGTATACTTCTCAGTATCCATAAATCTACACAATTTCAATTTATCCTAAAAATGTGATTTTTAAATGATTTACTTATAAAGGCATAGGTTAAATGGTAAATTGGATTAGCTTTTCCTCTTTAATAGACTGAATGTCCTGTTTTATTAGTTAGCTTTTCTGTCACTGGGACACAATACTTGATACCTACAACTTAAAGAAGGAGAGATGTAATTTGACTCACGATTTCAAGGGAACCAATCCATGGTCAGCTGCCTCCAAAGCAGAAACACCATGCTATAACAATGTAACAAAGCAAAATGCCGAGTTCATGGAAGCTGGGAAGCAGAGCTGAGGAACAGTGCCAGAGAGGAAGGGATGAGGAGCCAGAGATAGATACCAAACACTATACCTCTTGATCTACCCAACAAACCCATATGTATGCTCCACCAATCACCTAGAGTGGAGATCCCAAAGACAATCAAGTTTACACTCCACCTCAACTGGCACATCTGCTTACCATAGAAACATTCAATTCATAACGTATATAACACACAGGTAACAGTTCAAGTGTAAGATATTTAATGTCAAAAAGAGTAGTTAGGAAAAATGTTAAAATAGTCAAATCTTTAATGTAGAATATTACGCTAGTTTATTTCAGCCTAGACTCATACAAAATATGGGAAGATATACTGTTTGCTTTTTTATGTTTACATGTATGTTGTATTAAGATATCCTTTACCCTAGACAAATACGTCAAGGAATAACTGCAAAAATCAGAGGAGGATTTTGGAGAGAATTCTTTTGTCAATTTCCTTTTTCCAGTAGAGAATTGGACATTTGATTTGATTTGTTTTGTTTTGTTTTGTTTTGTTTGAGACAGGGTCTCAACTATGTCGTTGGGACTGACCTAGAACTCACTATGTAGCCCAGACTGGTCTCGAACTCACAGCCATCCTCCTGCCTCAGCCTCTCAAGTGCTGGGATTACAGGCATGTGCTACCATGCCCAGCCAAGAATTGGACATTTGAAATTGAATGAAATTTTTATATAAGAGGTCAGGAATGAAGGCAGAGTGAGCCAAGAGTAAGAGGACTGTTAATTTACTGCCATAAAAAGAACACTAAGAAAGAATGGAGATCAGGGATGTTACTAAGGTAAGAAATAGGCCAATCTTCAGACCTCTGTAGGGTTGGTTTCCATAAATATGAGTCTCTCTAATGAGATGCAATTTCTTACCAGTACTGTTGGGTTAATAGTAGAATTTTGCCTTAATCAAAGGTTAAATAAGCTTTTGAAAATTCTTGAGGGTCTTTTTATGAATTCCATAGTTACTCTGGTTTTGATTCATAGGAGTTTGACATAAATGATACATACTGCTAAAAACATAATTTTAAACACACTTCTCTTTTATATTCTCATTCCCATTATAGGAGAACAAAAAACTGAGTCTAATGCTGCTGTGTTACTGACACTTCAAATAAGATTTAATTAGTTTCTCTGGCAGAGCAGTAAATAAATTAAAGAGTTCAGGAGTGCTTAGCCCCATAAATTCTCTAAGGAAATTTAAATAGAAATAAGTTTTAAATACATCTTTCTTCATGCTTCCTATGTGGCAGCCAATGTTGGCCCTTGTCAAATGTCAAACATAAATGTACTTTGAATCTATAAGAGCCCATCAAGGATGATATTTAGTAAAATACACCTTCATAGTGTTAAGGAATTAGAAGTCAGCCTCCAAAGTGTCAGAGAATGGCGTAGACAAAATATCAATCAATGCATCATGTTACATTCTTCTATAACAATAGCCAACATTTACTAAGTGCTTATGAAATGCTATCACCTGTTTTAAGAGTTTTACATGAACTGAATTTTTTTGTGTGGGGGGACCACTGAAGTTTGAACTAAGGAGCACTGAACTATATCCCCAGCCCACCCACCCACCTATTTTACAGTTTATTTTGAGACAAGATCTTGGTAAATTGACCAGACTGGTCTCAAACTTGCAATCCTTTTGTCTTAGCCTCCTAAGTAGCTGGAATTGTGCATACCGAGATATGTGGTACATGAATTAAATCTTTAACCCTCTATCAATCATATGTGATTGGCAGTATTACCATCCCTATTTCATAGGTGTGGAGAGAGGTAGAAACAGATTTGAGTAATTTCAGAGCAATATAATGCCAGAAGGTCTCTGTGGCAAAGGCTATGGGTGTGCCAACTACATTTCCTTGAGCCTTACCAATGCAGTGTATACCCAGACCTCCCTTGCAACTGCCAGGGCCTACTGCAGCTTACTTCTTGCTATGCAGTACAGACTAGAAAAAGCACCTAACCCATTCCAGGAGCCCTCAATCAATGACAGGTGGGATTTGGTGTACATATCCTTGTTCCTTCGCCCCTCCATTAGGGTGACTCTGAGGTTCACATTCTATGGTACCTACTAATAGCTCCTAAGTAGGATTATTAAAAGTACTCACATTCATAACTACTTAAATATTCGCCATTTGTTGTCTACCTTCCTCCTCTTTCTTACTTCCTAACTGTCTACCAATGACTCCAAAGATCACTTCGCTCACATCCTTGTCTCAGGTTCAATTGATTCAGGGCGGGGGTGGACTGCAAACTCAAAGAAAGCCCTAGCCATGAGTGGGACCCAGGCATCCTGGCTACAGTCTATGGACTTTATCACTGTGATATACTGCCCATTCTCCCAGAGAGTCAACGCATATTTGGCAAAAATTATCTCAAGAAATGACAGGAAGTGTCCCATATTCTCAAGTCTGTTACATAAAAGTCCTTAAAAATATCATCCGTCACAAAGACAATCAGTGCTTCACTCGCAAGGTACATAGATATTCAGGAGACTCGTGGGAATTGTCTCGAACTCTTCCACATTCTGATATCAACAAGGATGTCACCGGACATTAAAACCATATAATTGTACTGGACAGAAAAGAGCAAAAATAGAGCGAATTTTTAAAGTAATTATTTTATTCTTAGTTTTTATGCTTTTGCTTTTTTAAAAATGTAGACAGTTTCCTTTGATGCTCACAATAAAACTACTACTAATTATACTATCAAGATAGTATTTTATAGGTGACGAGAAAATGTCTCAGAAGTGTCTTTTCTGCTTTTTTAATGCTCAGCTTCCTTTACCTCCATCCATACTTTTTAAGGTTGTTTGCAACATGATGTCATGTTTTTTCGACACACTGTTAATAGCAGCAGGCTGCCTCCATTTATGGCACATTTGATACATTAAAAAAAGATATAGATCAAATTCTACTATATGAAGTTATAGTTAAAGTGCACTATGGACATTTTTTTACTAAAAAGAATCCTAAAGTGAATCCATTTTGTAAAAAAACAAGTGCTCTGAAACACTGTGCAAGTAGGAAAAACCTTAATCAAAGACTAGAAATTTTGGAACTCTAGTGCTACTGAACTTTTGTGTTACTTGCAGCAAGGAGTGGGGAATTTGAACTAGAAAAATTTCTTAAGGTCTCTAATTCCGTTTTCCCCTATTCAGAGTGTAGGCACTAACAGCACTGACTGTAGAAGAGTGGTTTCACTCTTCAGCTGTGCCTCTTGGTGTGTCTCCCCTTGCAGATTACATAACCTTCTTATGCTTATTTCCTAACTTATAAAATGAGGGGAGAAGTGCATATTTCAAATGACAGTGCATGAGATAACACTAAGCACACTATACAGTTCTCGGCACACACTGGACACTTACGAAATTGTAACCAATGTTATTATTCTACATTTTTATGCATTAACTTCACTTTATATGATTTTCTATAAGAGAAGCATATTCTGAAGTCTTAATGTCTGACTCTAGTAATTTAATGCATGTGTTCATGTTTTTCCCAGAATACTAATGAAAATTTTTGAACGTACTAAGAAGTTCGCAGAGCTGTATATATTCCCAATATCCAAATTCTACCATTTACATTTTGCTGTGTTGGTATTGTCATATGCCTGTATACTCATTCCTATTACTGAAAGATATTAATTAAGCATAGCTAGGATACTCAGACATATCTAAATTTTATGGTGCATTAAAGAAATTAATCTTGCTCCAAAACTTCTCTTGAAATTTCATTTCCTTTAGCCAGCATTGTGAAGAAAACATATTGAATAAAACTAAATCTTTCCTTATTTGTCTTAAAATATATCGAGATGGTCTTCATAAATAAAAATAATAGCAACATAGGCAGAAATAGAGAAGCCACAGGTGCTATGAAAACTGACTGTACGACCTGACCCCTCAGTCAAGTCCACAAGGGTGTTCACTTTATTTCCTGGTGTGTTGTTTCATTGTTAAAATATGCTTATTTTTATGACATTTAACTCATCAAAGCACAGAAGACAGGGCCTGGTTCTTAAAATCTGGTCACTTAAAACTTTGCTGTATCTTGTACTAAATTCATTCTGGATGCACTGAGAGATTTTTGTTTGTTTGTTCATTTGTTTTGCTTTGTTTTTAAGTGAAGGGTGTCCAATATAAAAGCAAAGGCTTGGTCAAAGCCATGCACGCTTCGCACCAGGGCACTGCCACCTGCTCATTATACAACCCCGGGCAAAGTCCTTCATTTCATTAAGCTATGGGATTATTACATTTTTTGGCCCATCACTCAAAATTGCAACAAGATACTGTAGTCTGTTGGGGTGTTAGGCAGCATCATCCACTTAGTGACTTGTAGGAGTGGAATGCTTAGATGATACCAAAGAAAGAGTATTCTCCAATCCTGAACTTTTAGGAGCTTCATTCCATTGCCCCATTTGTAATACAGTGTCTATCTTGGTCAATTGCTTCATCTCTGAGACCTAGTACCCAACATCAACAAGTTATAGGAGGACAGCTTTATTGTGGCTGGTGTTCTTGGAAGGTTCAGTCCATGGTTGGTAGGCTCAACATAGAAGTCGCTTGGTGGAAGCACCTGCCGCTGGGGAAGCTGCTCACATCGCAGCATCTGGGAAGCAGATGAAGGGAGGAGCCAGGGAGGGACCGATACCCTCGCAGATCAAGCCCCCAGTGATGCCTCCATCCAGGCTGCCCTTCCTAATAGCAAGTCAGCTATGAACTCATCAGTGGACTAATCCAGATCTAAGCTATGACAGATCTAAACACCATATCTAAACCACAACAGTCTCTGAAATAGGTAATCCAACAGAAAAATCACATAGTTGTGAGACACGTAGACTACAGGATGGGACAACCTGAAATCAGGGGGAAGGGCTTGAATTCCATCTCATGATTTACATACATGGAGCCCTTAAGCAAGATACTTAACCTCTCTCAAATAAGCTGATGGCTTAAACTCTCAGAGATGACTTTCTTACCTGAAAAATGAAGGTAACAAGGAAATAAAACACTTGCTAAGTGCCTGTTATGTGCAAGGTTTCTCACAACTACCTCATAGCACCTCATAGCATAGGTAGTGCTGTTATTCCTTTTTAATACAGGCCCACCTAGGGTTGCTCAAATAACTAACACAGAGCCTGGGTTCAATCAGTGCTCTTCCTCACCGTGCTAGTGACTTCAACTGTACCAGGTGTGGTGAAGAAAAGAGCAAAGCCTAGTCCTGGAACAGGCACATAGCAGGTGGCTCAGTCAGTGGAACCTTCCTTTCCCTTTCCAAGTGATCCCAAAGAAAAATACCAGAAACTGTACTTTAGAGGTCATCTTACTTTTAGCAACTCAGTGAATGCCCCCCTGAACAGAAATGTAAATTTCACCCCAAATACTAACTTCTATTCCCCAATGATAGTTTCTTCTTTGGCCAACTCTTCTCACACTTGTGCTACAAAAAAAGTGAATATGGAATCAAGGGCTCCAGAGGCTTCACGATGATGGGTAAAATTTTTTGCCTCACTCAAATATGAAAATTTCTGAGCTACATAACCTAACATAATGTTCTCACAGCCACACCCTTTAGGGGAGTCTAAAATAAACCCTAGATCATATTTCATTCCTAAGATGTCTTGATTATTTTTATTTTTTATTATTTATTTTATTTTGCGGTACTGGGGAATGAACCCACAGTCTTCGCTAAGTTGCCCAGGTTGGACTCAAACTTGTGTTCCTCCTGCCTCAGTCATTTAGAGCACTGGGATTACCAGCCTGCACCACCAACCCTCGATTTTGATTACTTTCCATGGTGACACACCAACACGTAATCCCCAAGCAGGAAGTTAAGAACAGAATATCCAGAATCTCATTTGGGAGCCATGATAGAAGAAAGCTCCCAGTGGACCAAGTGGGTCCCTTTCCTAAGCATTTTATGTTTGTGGTTTCCTCCCCACGTATTGGCTCGAGTAAGGCACATTCTTTAATCTCTTTGTCACTTGAATCTCTTTCCTCTATTTCATATAAATCTATGTGTCTTATTGGACATCTGGGCAAAGTGATAAAAAAGTTGATTTTCCTTTTTAAAGAGCTCACTCATCTAAGGACTTTGCATGTTTCCAGGTACACTCAGTTTCTATGATGTAATAATTAATACTAAGTTGGTGGCTTCTCCCCACAATCATTTACTTTACTAAAGACCTCCGAAAGAGCCTGTTACTTTATCCCAGGGTGAAACTGCTGGCTTTGGAGCATAAAGTGGCTACCACGGGGCTAGGAGAGCACAGAGCACCTCATGCCATATCCCATAGCTAACTATCTAGCCCACTAGACCTATGGCTAAGTTGAAGTCTCTGCAATGTTGTATGATTGGTTCGTTGTGTTTTGCTCTTAGAGGAGAGAGTTTTGGGGTGTAAAGAGGGCTCTTCCTCACCTATCAAATTACAGTAAATGGGAAACCACCTCATTCTCACTTCTCTATGGCTACCCTGGTCTACAGGTCACATGAAAGCAGTAAATTGTTCCTCCTGGGAAACCTATAATCTCTTAGAGTACAGGTATCTGTGTAAACGAGGATGCCCGTGGCATCTTTTTGCGACAAGCATCACCCTTTGATGGTAAACTTCTCTTTGATCTCACCACCTGTTAATGATAGATATCCTTTCAGTGCAATCTGAGGCTTGAGATCATGCCCCTTTGTTAGCCAGACACTCCACTCCCCTCCCCACATACATACACAATTTCCTCCCTACTCACTAGTGTTCATGTAAAATGTCTTCAGAGACAAATACATGTTTCTCTGTACCACTGGGTAATAGTGGTTGGCTCCCAAGATTTATTCTTCCCCAGTGAGTAGTATTAACCATACCCATTTTCTTGCTATTGAATGAGTTAAATTAGGCATGTAGCCTAGTCTTGGCCAATGAGGGTGGGGGGAGGAGAGAGGAGGAAGAGATATTCCTTGGATTGCTTTGAGGAATGGTCTTCTAGCCCATAATACAAGCCCCTTAGACACTGTCTCATTTTTCTTATGGTCTTGATTTTGTTGTGTCTGTATGTGATACCTACAATAACTATAGCCACCTTGCCACTAGCCCAGAAAAGAAAACAAGGCAAAGAAACTTGGCCCCAAATTGGACCAAAGCCTAGATGTACTATGCCTGTGTCCCCTTCTAACTCTGGGTTTCTTGTTATGTGAGGGAAGAGATTTGATTTTTGCACATGCCAGTTGGAGCTGGCTTTTCTATTACCTGCAGTGGAAAGCAATTTAGCTGATTCACATGCGCTGTAATTTTCCTGGGCAACACTAATTGCTAGCAGTCTAACTGCATTATTCTCCAGTTGCTCATCTATTCTGTTGCTTTGATATAGCATATAATAATTGCTAATATTCTTTGAGTTAAAAAAATTCCAGGTATTGATATAAAGGAGAGTTTGCTGGCTTGTTTTAAAAATATGTATTGCTTGTATCCATTTAATCTGTAATTCTTCCCTACCCCTGCCAATGGTGACTTGTCACCATGTAGCACTGGTTAATGTAACCTTAGTTGGTAGTTGCATTAAACCACCAAAAACAATGGTCAGTAACTTGATAATCCAGAGCTAAATGGACCATTCTATTACCTCTAAAAGTCTGGACATAATCATAGGAAGAACTATCTTCTTCTCATAGAGATGAAAGGTATTTCAGATACTATAGCATATGCTTTTGATCAAATTGTTAAGGAATTTATTTTGTCATGTACTTACCATGTAACTTACCATTGATGTGAGACAGCTTTTCTGTTATTGTGATAATGTAAGGTCCAACCTTACTGCCCTCTTGTGTACAACAAAAGTGTCATCACATAAGGGAAAGAAACAGGCGCACACGTGGTGATGCGTTGAGTCATATGTAACATACATTCTTAAGTGTGCAAATTTTATGTTTTGGAAGAAAGACAATACAAGAATGGTCTTGAAAAGCCTCACTCAGGAGCTGGAGATTTAGCTCAGTGGTTCTGCTGCTTTGCAAGCACAAGGACCTGAGTTCAATCCCTGGTATCAAAAAAAAAAAAAAAAAAGTGTCAGTCAGGATATACCGCTTTGTGTGTTTATATTCACAAGCATGCTGCTTCATTTTAAAATAAGTATGACAGACTGAATTCTAGAAATGTATTGGAACTAACCATAGTCTAAGTACAGAGACGGTACCCTAGCAATTTAAGGGTCATCAGTCAAAGCTGAGTTCCCATCACTCATTTTTTTTTTTTAAATCGCTTCAAGGAGTCTTGTTGTTCCTTCTCTTAGAGGACAAATATTCTCTAACCTCCATAGATCAGAGACAGTCAGTGAATAGGCCCAAGGAAACAAAAGTTGCAGGGAAGAGGAATGCTGATTGGAAATGGATGTGATTTAAAAGGATGAAGGGCACGCCTCAGATATGAATGAGAGAGAAGTTGCTGTGTAAGCAGGAGTGGGAACCGTTAGAGAAATGGGATGCTGTAGTTGTTCCATGAGTGCTCAGAATAGTAAATGCTCATTGGTCATTCACCGAACCTAGACTGCAAAGACAAAAGTGGGCTTAGGAACTAACCATAAAATAATGGCCAATCATCTTTGAGTTCCAACTCTGTGCTGGTTGTTTTGTTAAATATTTCATCTAGATTGTTTCATCTAGTCCTCACACTAGCTTTGCATAGTTGGTACTATTGCTAACCTCATTTTACTAATAAGAATGAATAAGGCTCACTCGATACACTGAAGAATCCAGAGTGGAACCCAGGCAGTCTGACCACAGAGCTGCCCCTCCAATGCTTGAAATATTAGTGAGCTGCAACGCGCAACCACTTCTGGCCTAACACAGGGGCTTTGTGCAAATGAGAAAAGGATGAAAGTCCCTGACCACTATCTAAATGAATGCAGCACCACAGTTCACTTCTTGGAAAACAGTCAGCACCTTCAGTAAGTGCTCCTGACACTGGATGAGGATGACTTGCAGGGAAAAGGCTTTGAATGCTAGCCTTTACTCACCTAGGCATCTTCTAGCTAGACACATCTATACAGTGCACAGACTCCATAACTATGAAGGCTTTAAAATAATTTATATTTATATAGTTTCAGCAGTCAAAGGTCTTGTTTATAAGCACTCTACATGGATATCATTAGCCTCTCAGGTTCTAATCTCCACCCTGGGCCCTGGCTGACTTTCTATGAGCTCTATCAATGGCTCCTTGGCTTTCAAGGTTCATGCAGTGAAAAGCGCCACCAGAAATCCAAAAGGAGGAGAGTGAGATCGAGATACTTTGTTCTCTGGCAGCCTTCTTACTGTGCCAGAGGTTGTCAGCAACTCTGGTCCTCTCTTAAGACCTCAGCTTGTCAGCCAGCTCTTTTTCATGGCAATCGCAACATTTCTGGTGGCCTTTTTTCTCCTTAGCCTTTGGAGTCTAGGTACTGTGCTGGATTCCTTGCTACTGCTACTTGTGAGATGCTTCATCACTGATCACTCCCTAAATCTACCACACTCTGGAAATAATCCTTAATTCAACTGGCCTCACTTGCCCTGCTACAGTGAGCCATCTGTTTCCTGCCAGGACCCTTGACTGGTTGAGAGGAAACAAACTTTAACTATTTTAAGCAAAAGTGGAATTTGGGGGAGGGATATTGGGAGTCCCAGAAACAAGGGGAGGTGGGAAGACCAAGGCTGGAAAAGAAGCAGGAACCAGAGGAAAGTGGGAAGGGCTGAGGAAAAGCAACAGGGTGTCTTTCATTGGAAGTAGCCTAGGCCATCCACTGCCACTGCTCCTGCCCCTGCATGCCCTGCCCTGTGGCCTCAGGCATTTACTCAAGTCACATTTCTGGAAGAGGATTGAATGGTTCTTCACTGTATCTCCTCACAGTTATGAGCTGGGGAGTAGAGAGGAAAGACCAGTCCCCTTTGGCTAAATTGGGTGGAAATGGAAATCACTATCCAGCAAGACAACACCCAATGTGATCCCCTTAAAGCTTGAGATCAGAGTACTAGCTGAGCATGGTGGTGCATGCCTGTTATCCAAGACTCAGGAGGCTGAGGCTATGAGTTTGAGGCCAGCCTGAGATACAAAGTGCAAGGTCAGTCTGAAGTGTATATTGAGACCCCATTTCAAGACACACACACACACACACACACACACACACACACACCCCATTCTTCTCTCCAAAAACAACAAACACTATTATAACAATAAAAGATTGTGAAACTGCTTTAACAACCCACTAATCTGAAATCGTTGTTCTAAAAAGGAAATGAAAGTTCATATAGAGAGAGGCACTTGTCAAAGAGCATTTCAGTAACGTCAGCAATCAGTAACAGAGAAGTACCATTTCTAAGTCTTATAAGTGAGACTATAAAAATGCAAAGTGGCCGGTTTCATCTGAACAAAACGTCAACACTGATACCATCTTAGACTGCCCCATTCAGTGAGTCCTTAGCTCAGTAGCTAAGAGTAGCAAGAATTAGATTTGGAAACCAGTGACTTAGAACTGACTTATCTCTGGGAATTAACTCATTATTTCTTTTTGGGGGCTAGAAATAGGCCTCAACAATTTCTATAACTTTTAGTCTCTTAAAAGCTATTCTCTACTTTTAAGTTCCCTTTAGCTTACTCAGATTTTGATTTCTTCCAGTTCAGATCTTAAAAATTAAGAATAACATTTTATTAAGCATTCAGGGCAAATAACTTATTGAAGAAGTTTAAGGTTAATGTTAATGCTTTTTTTTTGTACTGTGGATTGAGCTCAGGACCTCACACTTGCAAGGCAGATATGGTACCACTGAGTTACATCCCTGGCCTCAGTACTATATTTTTTTGGGGGGGATGACTATAGTCATAATTCATACAATTACTAAATTTACCACAGATTTAAGAGTATTTACTTTTATGGCTCTATGGTTCCATGCTTTATCCCAATTCCAAAAGTAACTTACTTCACAAAGTCAGAGCTGATGAGTTATACATTTCAACATATATTTTTCTTGTCATGAATAAAAGCAGCACATTTTCATAATTGTCCCCTGGAGGCTTCTTGATATTGCTACTGTTATAACATTATCAGCAACAGGAGTTTATTTTCCTTTGAAATAAAATTACATGGATGCAATGCCTATAATTTATTGAGAATTTATATTCTGTTAAATATAGTTGGTTACACACACACTTTTATTTCTGAAATATTTACTGAGTAAATCTGAAATTACCAGAATACTAAGTCAATGAGAAAGTTCCCAGAGCTGTCAGTGAGATGATTTTATTTAGCCTGACAGTGTGATGAAACACTGAGATGGGTTTTTATGATATAATCGGACACTGAAGATTCTTCTTCAGTTCAAGGTGTAATTGATATGTTCATATGTCTCGTATGCTTCATATCTCAATGACATAATGAAAATGGTAAGGACAATATAGGAAAAGTGCACAGAAGAGGCCTACAGTTTTCATATATTTAAATGTCCCCTGCAATGCTCAGTGGCCTTCTTCTCCGTCCCTCCTGTAATAATGCCTCCTTGCAGTGTGCCACGCACCACCTGAACAGTGAGGACAAAGAAACAAATAGAAGATCCAGCCCTTCTATTTAAGAAGACAGTAATATTTCCACATCTTTGCTTTCCAGTCTAAAAACCATGCATCTTTCCCTAATACAGTCGTAGTCTCCTCAAACTCACTGACTTAATTAAATTGGCAGGCTGTGAACTGATTTAATAACCAATATCTTTACAATCAAATCAGCAGTGACAAAAACAGTGACAAAAGTGGCATTGTATCCTGGATACCTAGAAATGCAGGCCAAGGAGAGGCTGATACTTGCTTTTATGGACTCCTCACACCTCACAGTGCCCTTTTACAGACTGGAAAGTGCTGTATACAAGGCTGACCACTTGGCTGACCAACGTGTCAGTGGCTCCTGCTCCATAATGGATAAACAGAAATGGGGCCACTGTTTTCCTGTGTCAGGACACTGTCAGCAGGAGTGGGAATACCAACATTCAGGCGTGTGAGATGGAGTGAGTTCCTATTCCAGTGCTGCTTCCTCTGCTAGATCAGTTGGCTGTTTACAGAAAAGCTGACATCCTGAAAGCTCGTTTGCTATTCCTAAGTGAGAACAGTTTACTGCTGCTTTTGAGTGCATTTCATATACACCTTGAGGATATGCCTCCCTAGAGAGGAAAATCTTTGATTTTTGGACTGAGGTACACAGGAAGTCGTTGCTAAGTCCAGCGTGGGCCTGTGGTTTCCAAATGTTGAGATGTGTAAGGTATGTTCTGCAATGGCAGATCTCACTGGTTCAAATTCACCCGAGTGCCTCTTATATGTAGTAGCCATTCAATAACTACTTCCTGAATAAATGAATAACGAGCAGATTTATTATTTTATGTTTGCATTTCCAGGGAAGAGCTCTACCATTAAGCCACATCTCCAGCCCAAGAGATTTCTTAATGACAAATTCATTTTGAAGCATTTTTCTAGTTCTCAATCGTTAAAAACTGAAGAAAATAAACATTTGATAGTCATTCTCTCAAATGCAGCTAAATTTTGCTTAAGTAATACAGACATATGAAAATCTGGGTTCACAAAATGAATAAAGTATGATTGCACTGCTTTTAATTAAATAGAAACATACCTTATGGTGTTTTCTGAGGTTCATAATGAAATGAAAAAAATCAGTGCAATGTACTGCTTATCATAAGACTAAATCAACCAAACTGTTTTTCAATCAAAATTTAACCCTCCCCCACTTCTGAGATTAAAATGCTTTCTCTTTAATAAAATGACTGGAACAGTCTATGATGGTTGTGCCTTCTTAATGCCCGTACTGGCCAAAATAAAAAAGCCCACCCTCAGCTTACTGAAAACTATTTTTTTCAATAAAATTCAAGTTGGAGACTGGTTTTAAGATACGATCTACTTTATAAAAGCTTACAAGTATTTCTTGTAGTAACCTATATAGTGAATAAAAGAATGTAGGAGCTAACAAGTGTTGAGTGGCTACTCTC